TGAGTCATGAATGCTGAATTGCCAACTGTGCTCATCCAATCACATTTAACATTCAGAAGTGCCATAAAACATCAAACCCACAAAAACAACTTAACTGCAAGGCCCAGACCAAATCAATAGCAGAGGGGGTTTCAGTGCTGTTCCCTCGGCCATTCTCCACTGAACCCCAGTCTTCACCCCCCAACCCTCTGGCCAGCATCTCCTGTCATCCTTCCTTCCTCTCCATCTTTTCTGTGTCTCTCCATCCCTGCATTTCCAGTCTGGTCAAATCTGAGTTTCATTGTGTAGCGTGATTTATTCTCTTCCTTGTGATTGCTGTCAATTCCTGGCTGCAGGAACAAGGATCTCGCCAACAATCATGAGCCAGAGCGTTCTGAGCTCCCCACCCTTTCTTCCTGTCACCTTCCAATTCATTTCCTGTAAGCTGTGACTCTTTCTTGGGAACATTAATTAGCCATGATGCTTTTTTATCAGAATTCTAGGAAAATGATATCGGTATGACTCACACTTCTGCTGTTTAAACAGTATTTACTATATTTGAGTGCGGCAGATGAGCTTTTTGCAGGGTGCCTACTATATAGATTTATGACCTTCTGTGAGCATTCTGGGAAAGAAAGAAAAAAGCACGCATCAGCACCACTTAATGAGGCTTTACCATATCACTCGAACTCTTAGAGTGAAAACATATGGGATGCAGTATCTTTAGATGATCTCATAAATGTCTTTATTTAGGAATACAACACATTTCCTTTGTGATGCTAGTTTTAAGAATAAAGTTAACGCCACTCCCAGAAATTATATTCTACCACTCCTTGCTGGATAAAGGGGTGGTTTTTACAATCTACACTGTAGCTATCTGTGTAAGGGATTTTACAATCTGTGCACTCATGAGCTGTGTTAAATAAACTATGTAAATTTATGTGGACCAGGGTCTAAATTAATTCAGGCCAAAATAAATCAAACCTTAGCTAGACCATGATTTAATTAAAAATTGAAAATATGACTCATGACACTTAAGTATACTGATGTTTACTGCCAAAAGAAGCATTGTTCCTGTGACAGAGATAAATGCAGGAAGGGCCTTTAGATTCCTCAAGGTTGAAACAGAGATATTGACATGAACATGGCATCATAGACATTCCTACAATTGCTCAAATAAATGCTTTTGGGAGGAGTATCAGAGGTGAAATCAAAAGATAGTCACGAAAATCCATAGGTATACATGTTTTTATTTCCAGCTTCTTCTCTCTCTAATTTTGGTATTTGTGTTTCTCCTTGTCTTCTTGTGACTCTCTCTCTATAAATATATATCTATATGAAATATATACATTACTATGTATATTAATATATAATCTGTATGTATAAATATGTTTTTTGTCAAGTTTTAAAAGCTGTTCTTCCCGTTTTGACTTTAATACATTACTTACCCATTTCCTCCCTTCTGTGTATTTTCTGGAATCTTACTGTCCTCTGACTTGCAATGTGTAGGGCATTCCTATTTGAGTCTCCTGTGCTGTACAAGTCTGCATGTTTACAAAGCTTCCTTCTTGGAATATATGGATGATCTTCCACCTGGCTGAGGCTCCTCCTCCCTCTTGTGTCCCCAACAAGCCCCCGCGGCCACTGCCAGGGCTGCCCCTCACCATGACGCAGATTTCAGCGGGTAGGAATGTGTCTGAACCCCAACCAGCACCCATGGGCGGACTAACATGTGGGTGTTTAAGCAGCTATCAGCACGGTATTTGAAATCCACATTCTCTGGGGCATGCGGCCTTGGCCATCACGGATCGGACCCCCAGGCTGCAGACCCTGCAAGCGAAAGGAAGCCGTGGTCCCTCACGCAGGCCCCGAGGCAGTGAGGTCGCCTCCACTCCAGTGCTCTGCTCTTCCTCCCCGCAGCCCTCGCCGCCCCGCCCTGTCCACCACCAGCTCCTCCCTGGGGATCTCTCCGAGCTGTGCCATTTTGCAATGGATTAATCCTCTAACGTTTCCAAGTAAAGCCTTTATTTGCGTTTGGAGAGTCTCTAATGCTTTAAGGCAAAGAAGTCAGTAATTTGGAGCTTCGGGCCTCTCGCAGGGTGGGAAAGGGAATTCTCTGCTAAGTCAGTAGGTGCCACGGTGTCCTCCAAACTCCACAGGGCTTGTGGGACCTGTGCCGCCCCTCCTACAGCAGGGCCTTCCATGAAAGGTTGTCCTGGCCCCTGCCGAGGATGGGGAACATCGGGGTCTCAAGAAGGACAGTGATTGGGATTGCCCCACGCATTGACCTTATGCAGGGGATTGGGACGGAGTTGGTGCAAACCTTTGAATTATTGTCCCTTTCTTTCACTCTTCAATATGGGCGTGAGCCTTCCTCCCCAAATTCATGAACAATTTTTAGGAAACTTAGATAAACAGAAACACAATATTTAGGATCAAGTTTAAAATCCCCCAGAACTTCCCTCAGGAACTGCTAAAGCACGTGGCCAACAATCCCTCATGACCAGCTGTGATCAATCAGGAAACGGGAGGGGGCAGCTCCTAGCACGACAGAGGCCAGAGTCTGGCAAATGGCTCTCACCTCCCATGGGCTGGTCTGAGAATTTTAAACTCCAAGGGAGCCGCAGAAACCTTTGTTCCCGACTCAGCGAAGGAGGCCGCCCGGGCAGCCGAGGAAGACCCATGCATTAGCCTATGGCGCCACCTAGCAAAACCAGGGGGTACCTAAGAAAGAAGGAGCTGGGAGGTTGTGGGGTTTGTTTTGGTTCAGTTTTTTCCCGCAACCAGAAAAGGGGGTTTCCATTTCATTCACAGAGTTCTCGGAAATGGAATTTGTATAAAACATTTTTTGGTCATGATGGAAAACATTTATTTTAATCTAATGAGAGAATCTGGTCCCAAGGCAAGAGTAATGAAAACCTACGAGGACAAGTGTTTGATTCTCTAGATTTTTTTTTTCCCTACTAACAGCTGTGACTATGCAGTTTTTGCTTCAAAAAGAACTTGATTCTATCTTCAGTTAATTTTTTTTTTTTTTAAGACTGAGGCTCCCTCTGTCACCAGGCCGCAGTGCAATGGCACGATCCCGGCTCACTGCAGCCTCCGCCTCCCACGTTCAAACAATCTCCTGCCTTAGCCTCCCGAGTAGCTGGGATTACAGGCACCTGCCACCACGCCCCGCTAGTTTTTGTATTTTTAGTAGAGACAGGGTTTCACCATGTTGGCCGGGCTCCTCTCAATCTCTTGACCTCGTGACCCGCCCGACTCGGCCTCCCAAAGTGCTGGGATTACAGGCGTGAGCCACCTGTAATGGCCAAAGGTATTTTTTAATTGGTGAAACAGCTACGGTTCCCCGGCTTTTTCTTTTCCTCTTTTTCTTTTCTTCTGCGGGTCAGATTGACTTTTGGGTGACACCTTCATGTCCAGAACGGAAGAAGGGCTCACCAAGGACACGATGCTACAAACAGGTAAGGTTGCGTCAAGGGACATTCTGACAATTTTATGATGTCACTTTGCCCTTTTGGGTTCTGGAAAGTGAGCTTGGCTTCCCTGCTCCCACACATCAGCCCCACGAGGAGACACTTTGTATACATGCTGAAAATGCAGCACACCCGGCCAGGCGTGGTGGCTCACGCCTGTAATCCCAGCACTTTGGGAGGCCGAGGTGGGCTGATCACCTGACATCAGAAGTTTGAGACCATCCTGGCCAACATGGTGAAACCTTGTCTCTACTAATAATACAAAAATTAGTCGGGCATGTTACTAGGTGCCTGTAATCTCAGCTACTCAGGAGGCTGAGGCAGGAGAATCACTTAAACCCAGGAGACAGAGGTTGCAGTGAGTCCACATCTTGCCACTGCACTCCAGTCTGGGTGACAAAGTGAGACTCTGTCTCAAAAAAAAGAAAAGAAAATGCAGCACATCCAAAACATCCTTGGAGGCCACGTCCAGAACACTGGAGCAGCCCTTCCCATCTGAAACATACAAATCTCTGTGGAAACAGAGACTCAAGGATGCCTCTAGGTTCCGGACAAAAAGTGTTTTGATGACCACACAGAAGAGACAGTCCTTGACTTTGAAAGGGTTAGGAGAATACAGTGGTTGTTAATATGGGCTCTGGAGCCAAATTCCTAGGGTTGATGCTCGCTTCCCTATTACTTGAACTCCAGTAACCTTAGTTCTCTATACAATGAGGATAAATCTAGTACCTAATTGATAGGGTTTTTGTGAAGTTTAAATGGCATAAAGTATATAGTGTTTACAATAAGACCTGACACACGCAGGCATTTAATTGAAATGTTAGTGTTTAATCATCCTAGAATTTAAAGGAACAAACCTGAGTTTTCTTGCATCCTAATAAACCAGTCATGTTTTTTGATCCTACCTGAAGCAGTCTTCATTAATTAGCATTGTGTATCATGCCTGCATAGCAACCCTCAAAGGCAATTTCTTTTTGATACCCCCACATTGGCAGCAGAAGCAGGAGAAGGTATCCAGCTTTCAAAAATTATTTTAGGAAAAAAGCATACAGAAAAGTTTGATGACCACTGCTCTATCTCCAATGGATGCTCAATTAATGCAGTTGTCTGATTGATAATCAAGGTTATTTTGTTCACTTGCTTTTTCATGTATTAGATTTTAAATTTCTTAAGTGCAAGGATCCGGTTTGGCTACCGTATACCTACAGGCCGCTAGAAGCTGTTATCTAATTTTAGATTAAATACCTAGATGATTTGAAAGTGGTGCCCTTTCTGAAACATATTAATATGACCAAGAGTCACATACTATTTGTCAATTGAATTGACACTATAGGCAGATGAAAACAAGGATTAACTTTTGGAGCTATCTTTTAAGGGTTGGCCACTGTGTATCGTCATTGACTCTGGTCTATTATTGTGTTCAACCAGTGCCTCACAAGAATCAAGTTATGACACAACATTACGAACAACCCATCTCTTAGGATGTGGCAAACTGATGCCTTTTCCCACAAGGCGAGTGCCTAAGGAATTTACCAGAAAGCCTTTGACAGTGATTAATGTCAGAAAAATAGCACTTTATTGTTAGAAGACATGGGATACACATCAACATACAAAACTTAAAGCAGAAGCCAAAGTGCAATGCTTCCTTGAGCTTCATTGATCAAGATAAATGAGGTCGTGTTCAGGCATTGGTGGTAGGAAAAATGGCTTGACAAATCTCATATATCCAGTATCTTCAGGCTTCACATGGCTTTTTTATTTAGGCCTAATTAAACTGCAAAAAAAAAAAAAAAAAGGAATATTAATTTGATCTGAGAGCAGAGGAGTCTACATTCTTCCTATTTTTTATGTTTGACCTGCACCCACATTTGTATAATCATCACACATTCTCTCCGAACTGGATCAAGAGTCTTTGTTCTAAAAAACTATTACAAATTCTTTATGGATAGGAAGACACAGATAGACGTACTAAAGACAAAAGACTTTTTTGACTGCTATATTCTATAGCATTTGCTTTCAGGTTGCAATGTTTTGTACTAAGCACACCAGAAATACAAACTTCATTGGAATTGCAATAGCAATTCATTGTACTCATGTAATAGTAATCGCAATTCCTGAGATCTACTGATTTGGGGAAAACCCTTTGTAGGTGAAAACTCTGTTCATGGCAATTTGAGCATAAAATCTCTTTCCATATTGTTATTAAATTGTGACGTATTGGAGCTGGGAAAGAACCACCAGCTTCATGCAACTTCATACCAAACCAACCCCCTGCCTCTGATATGCCACATGATCTAATGCATTATAATGCTCTACATATGATCTATTTGGCTGCAAAATGTTCTCAAGTCTATAAGTACATACACTTGAAGATACATGACTTTATGTATTTAATGTAATTCAAATGGAAGTTTCCATAAGCGTCTCGAGAACCCTGGCAACGGATCCCAAAATGAATATGAAAGAGTCAAGGACCAAGAAAATATATGACACTCAAAACGAAGAACTCTACAAGTGATCTTGTCTTCCAGATATTACAGTTATTCTAGGGCTATAGCAATTAAGATAGTGTGGCATGGGGGAAAAACATATAGATGGACCAAGGCAACAGAATAGAGAATCCAGAAACATACCTACACATGCATAGAAATCTGATTTATTTTCCTAGAGCTGGCATTGCAGACACTTGGATGAAATATTAATTATTTCAATATGTGGTTATGGTGACAACATATTAGTCATGTGTTAAAAAATAAAATTAGACCTCTTATATCACACATAAAAGCCAATTTCTGGTATATTAAAGACTTGAAAAGCAAAATTAGTCAGAGATTAATACACGTTGACAATTTTATAACTTCCTAGCTTATACAGATTTTTTAAATATATTATAAATAAAATGATTCTTAAAATGAGATCAACCTCATTAAAATTACAAGTTTACGTTCCTAAAAATACACTGGAATGACCAATCTGGGAAACAGTAGGACTCTGTCTCTACAAAAAATTAAAAATTACCCAGGCATGGTAGTACACACCTGTAATCCCAGCTGCTTGGGAGGCTGAGGTGTGAGGATCACCTGAGCCTGGTGGGTCAAGGCTGCAGTGAACCATCATTGTGCCACTGCACGCCAGCCTGGGCAAGAGTGAGAGCCTGTCTCAAAAAATAAAAAATAAAAATAAAAGACACTGTAATGAAAGTAAAAAATAAGTGTTAGAAACTGGGAGAAGGTACTCACAACATAAATAATGGAGCTCGAAAATATACAAAGAACTCTATAAACCTATAAGAAAAAAATGAACAATCCAACTGATCAATAAGCAAAAACATTACATGTGTATTTCACAGAAGAGAAAGAAATGGCAAAAATACATGGAAAATGCTCGGTCTTGTTAGAAATTGGGGAAAAACTTTAAACCATAATGATCAGATGCCATTTTCCACTTACCACACACAGAAGAAATAAGAATCCTGACAATACCAATGTGACTGAGAATACGCAGCAATCGTTACACCACTTTGGAAAATAAATTGGCATCATTTAGTAAATACAAAAAGTAGCTGAACTCTCTGACTCAGAAATTTCACCCCTAAGTATATTCCCTAGAGAAATTCTTCTGTTTACCAGGAGGCATGTAAAAGAATATTTATACCAGCACTGTTTGTAATTGGGAAAAAAAAAAAAAAAACTAAAAACAGACCAAATGTTGATAAACAATGGAATAAACTCTAATGTATTCACAATGACTACCTCAATGAATAAATAAAAAAGCTACAGACAGCTGGGTGCACTGGCCCATGCCTATAATCCCAGCACTTTGGGAGTCCAACGAAGGTGGATCATCTGAGGTCAGGAGTTCAAGACCAGCCTGACAAACATGGTGAAACCCCTTCTCTTCTAAAAATACAAAAATTAGCCAGGTCTGGTGGTGGGCACCTGTAATCCCAGCTACTTGGGAGGCTGAGGCAGAGGTTGCAGTGAGCCAAGATCCTGCTGCTGCACTCAGCCTGGGCAACAGAGCGAGACTGTATCTCAGAAAAAAAGCTGCATTGATTAAATTCAGAAAGGAAAAGTTGAGTGAAAAAGCAAGTGGTAGAACAACATATGCAGAATGACTCCATTTACATAGCATTCAAAATACAGAAAACTAAACAATATATTTGGGAGGATATAAATACATTCAGTTAAAACTATAGAGAAAAGCAAAGAGATAATAAATACAAATATCTAGTTAGTAGTTGTCTATGATGGGAGAGGGAAAGAGAAGAGGTTTGGAAAGAGTGCTTTGAAGCTTTCTAAAGTAATGGTAATGCACTGTTCAAGTGGGTGGTTGGTAATGAATATCTGTTGTATCCTTATTATTTAACTGCCCCCCCCCCAGTGTTTTAAGCTCTTAATTTTGAAATAATTTCATATTTATATAGAAATTTCAAATAGAAATTTGAGTCCTGTGAATTCATTGAACGCAATGAGTTCCTATGAGCCCTTCATCCAGCTTCCCCCAGTGATACCATCTTACATAAAGACAGTTCAATTCACAACACCAGGAAACTGATATTGAACTAAATGGCAGGCTTTATTCAGATTTCACTAGTTTTTACATGTACAGTGTTTGAGAGTATTTGACATTTTATTGCATGTGTAGATTCCTGTAACTGCCATCTGCATCAGAATACAGAACTGATCCATTAACAGTAAGAAACAATTTCCTTCCTCTTGAGAGTCCTACCCTCCTCCCAGCCCTAATCCCTGGCAACCACTTATTGGCTTTTATCACTATAATTTTGTTACCCTATGTGTATATTTTAATGTTTTTTAGTATCTATTTAATATTTTAAACAACCTCCCCCACTCAGTTTCAGAAGAGAAAAATGCTTAGAACCTGTAAAGATGATCCTCACATCCACCATTAGCTCTATTGGTAAAATTTCCCCAGGCTTACTCAATTACAAGTAATTTCATGTCCACCCAGTTCACTTCCTTCACCCTCTCCTATAAGACCAAAGATAAAGATGCGCACACTTTTTTTATTCTCTAGAAGGTCATCTTAGAATCAAAAGACCCCTCTGTTTTCCCAAACCTCCCCCTAACCAGGAGTTTGTCAGGTTTTTTTTCTTCATATTTTCAAAGAATCGAATTTTGCCTATATTGATACTTTCTATAGTATATCTGTTTTCTATTTCATTAATCTCCAATCCTATCATTGGTATATCCTACCTCCTTAATAAATTTCATTTACTGTTCTTTACCTCAGACCTTTTCAATGGGGTAGCCACTTACTACAGTTTCTGTTTCAGAGGATAAAGCTGAAGTTTTACCAAACAGATAGGACACAGGTGGAAAAATCAAAGACACACTGAGAGTTACTGATCTTGACTGACTGAGCCTAACACATAAGTCATGCTCTGCAATTTTCATTCTTTCTCCCCAGGCTGGTTTGCTCCTGTTTTTGCAGAGTCCCTGCCAGATCTCAGGCTCATGATGTCTGGCTGCTGCAGACACAGCCAGTTTAGGTTGAAACGGAATGATCTCATTCACCTGAACCTCTGTGTAGTTGCCTGCCTCTCCTGAAATCCAACCCACCTCTTCCTTAATAAGATCTTTTTCCTCCATCCAGCCTCCCCAGGAGAAAGCCTTCCCCTGCTCCAAACTTTTTTATTTAAAACTAGCAAACAAAACTGCTTCCCATTTGGGCCTTTATGATTCCCATTGATGCTTACTGCATCTTTCAAACCTGGCTCAAAACAGCCTCCGCTCCTTACCCCTATTTTCATTCTTTCCCCTAGTTCTCCTCTTTTGCCTAAGGTGTGCTTTATTTGTTTTGTTTCCATTTCTCAGTGCTCACCCAGGCATGTATAGGCAGACTCTGTTTTCACCACAATCAACCAGTTCTTGGAATCTTCCTTCTAAAGACAGTCATGTTTCCTTCTAAGAACAATGACAACATTAGGGATTGCATTCCTGAAAAAAGCTCAACAACAGTTAAATGAGTTTATTAGTGTATTTCTTAGGATGGCATCATGTGATTTGAAAACGGGTCTATGGACAAATAAATCTGAGTGACAATGAATTTAACAGAGTGCTCCCCAAACCCTGCCATGCAAGAATGCCCAGATCTTTTTTGTGTTACCCACGTGCCTCCTTTTTTTTTGGAAGGGAGGTTTCTATGGGAGGCATATTGAGTATAGAACAACCACTGAATTAAGGCATGTGTATGACAATAACATACCATTTTTTCAGAAAGCAAAGTTAAAAGAGCTGAAGGTCCTGTTCTCCAACTTCTATGACTTGAGCACAAATACACTCCATGTGATGAATATGCTATTTGCTGTTAGATCCACTGTCTACCCTGCCACCTCCCCAAAGGAGCTGACACATAAAGAACAGGCTCCCTTGTTCTTCCTTCCCATCTCTTCCTTGATCTCAAGAATACTCCCCAATAAGCCTCTTGCATCCATCTCAGAATCCGCTTTCCAGAAAATCAACCTATGACAAGAGTCAAACAACTCTATAGATCATATGAGAAACAGCAGCCTTTCTTTTTCTACTCATTACCAATTTTCCAGAGGTAATTAGATTTGGCTCCTCTGATATATTCTTTGCATATCCCTGGAAAAAAATGTTTATGTTGCTACTTTTTTTATTTTTCTGTTTTAGGCATTAACATCAACTTGCCTCTATGGAAACTGAAGATATTGCTCTCTTACACATACACACACACAGAGAGATCTAGAGAGAGAGAGAAACACTTCCCATCTATCCATCATCCTAGTAAAGTTAGAATCAATACTCAGTAAACATGTTATTATGACAATACATAGATGACAAAGAAAGCTCAGCAATATAATAGAATATGATTGCTTTTCCCCTTACATTTTCTTTTCCCAAAGTGAATATTTGTCTTATTTTTCCATTAGCTTAGTTTTCTATGTATTTATCACTAATTTACAAACATTCCCCCATAAATCTCCTCTTTACATATTCAAACAAATTAAGTACACTATCACTTTTACTTTTTGGAAGATGTCTCTTCTAGAACCGTCTGGACCACATTAATTGTATGATCAATATCTAGGATTGCCTACTGTTTTCTTAGAATCTCCTTTCCCATTAATTTGGAGGCTTTCTTTACATCTTTCTTGCACTGAATCTCGTTTCCCTCTTTCTTGGTTTACTTCCCTGTTCTGGTGAAGCACATCTATCAGCACTTTCCTCAGAAAGGGTACATGGCAGGTAAATTTTTTGAGATCTTGTTTATCTGAAACATAGTTTATTTTACCTTTATACTTGGTTGATGTAGGAAGATAGTAGATCTAATGACTTCTCCTTCTTTAAGCAGATGTCATTTAAAAAAAATCTCTTCTTCCTTTTATTGTATCTCTCTAGCTCCTTAGGTCTCCATAGTTTAAAAAAAAAAAAAGCCTTCAATAGAGACTTTAATTCACAGGTTAAAGATGTCCTTGGTTTTTAAATGTCTTCACACAATATAGTTAAGTATCAATTTAGATAATATGAACAATTATTTTTGAAATCCAAGTTAACTATTAAATTATTTTTTAAAGTTGAGTTCACTTTTACTTCATAATTTAATTTTAGATGTCTAGTTTTAAATATTTTATTCCAGAAAAAATACTATATTATATAGATACTGATAGATACCAAATTTCCTCCTAAAATATATTAGTAATCATATAAAAAGTATAAAAGTCCAAAGATGTGCCAGAGTAAAAGTTTTCATATTATGGAATACTATGCAACCATAAAAAGAATGATATCATGTCCTCTGCAGGAACATGGATGAAGCTGGAGACCATCATCCTTAGCAACTGGTGCAGAAACAGAAAGCCAAAGACTGCACATTCTCAGCCTGGCCAATATGGTGAAACTCTGTCTTTACTAAAAACACAAAAATTAGATAGGCATGGTACCACATGCATGTACCCAGCTACTTGGGAGGCTGAGGTGGGAAGATCATCTGATCCCAGGAGGCGGAGGATGCAGTGAGCTGAGATCATGCCAATGCACTTCAGCCTGGATGACAGAGTGAGACTCTGTCTCAACCTCCTCCCACCAAAACACACACACACACACATATACACAACAAAAAAGACTGCATGTTCTCACTTATAGGTAGGAGCTCAATGATGAGAACACATGGACACACAGAGGGGAAAAACAGACACTGGGGCTGATGGGAGGATGGAAAGTGGGAGGAAGGAGAGGATCAGGAAGAATAAAATAACGAATGGGTACTAGGCTTAATACCTGGGTGATAAAATAATCTGAACAACAAATGCCCATGACACAAGTTTACTTATATAACAAACCTGCACATATACCCCTGAACGTAAAATAAAAGTTAAATTTTTTTAAAAGTGTGCATGTTAGAATAAATGCAAAGAAAAATAGTTATATTAGACATTGCTGCATTTTATTTATTAACATATATCTATATACACATATATATATTTGTATATATATTATGCATGCATACATATATCAAATGCATCCACATTATTCAAAAATAAGAGTTGTAAAAATATACAATGAAAAGTTTTTTCCCCACTGAGCTTACTAGCTCTTAGAAAACCATTATTTGTTTTTTGTGCTTCCTTCTAGAGATTCTTAATGCACATACAACCAATTATTAGGAAATACACTAGTAATTTGAAAGGAGCCTAAGGAATACATTATTCAAAATGGTGTGAACAGAAAAGAAGGAAATGACATGGGATGGTAAGGCATCATGCTACCTGATTTCAAATTTTATTACATAGCTATAGTAGTCAAAGGTGGAGGCATCATGCTACCTGACTTCAAACTATACTACAAGGCTACAGTAACAAAAACAGCATGGTACTGGTACCAAAACAGAGATATAGACCAATGGAACAGAACAGAGGCCTCAGAAATAACGCCACACATCTACAACCATCTGATCTTTGACAAACCTGACAAAAATAAGCAATGGGGAAAGGATTCCCTATTTAATAAATGGTGTTGGGAAAACTGGCTAGCCACATGCAGAAAGCTGAAACTGGATCCTTTCCTTACACCTTATACAAAAATTAACTCAAGATGGATTAAAGACTTAAACATAAGACCTAAAACCATAAAAACCCTAGAAGAAAACCTAGGCAATACCATTCAGGACATGGGCATGGCAAACACTTCATGACTAAAACACCAAAAGCAATGGCAACAAATGCCAAAATTGACAAATGGAATCTAATTAAACTAAAAAGCTTCTGCACAGCAAAAGAAACTATCATTAGAGTGAATAGGCAACCTACAGAATGGGAGAAAAATTTTTCAATCTATCCATCTGACAAAGGGCTAACATCCAAAATCTACAAAGAACAAATTTACAAGAAAAAAACAACCCCATCAAAAAGTGGGTGAAGGATATGAACAGACACTTCTCAAAAGGAGACATTTATGCAGCCAACAAACATGAAAAAAAGCTCACCATCACTGGTCATTAGAGAAATGCAAATCAAAACCACATTGAGATACCACCTCATGTCAGTTAGAATGACAATCATTAAAAAGTCAGGAAACAACAGATGCTGGAGAGGATGTGGAGAAATAGGAACGCTTTTACACTGTTGGTGGGAGTGTAAATTAATGCAACCATTGTGGAAGACAGTGTGGCGGTTCCTTAAGGATCTAGAACTAGAAACACTATTTGACCCAGTAATTCTATTACTGGGTATATACCGAAAGGATTATAACTCATTCTACCATAAAGACATGGGCACACATATGTTTATTGCAGCATTGTTCACAGGTATATTTATTGCAGCAAAGACTTGGAACCAACCCAAATACCAATCAATGATAGACTGGATAAAGAAAATGTGGCACATATACACCATGGAATACTATGCAGCCATAAAAAAATGATGAGTTCATGTTCTTTGCAGGAAAATGGATGAAGCTGGAAACCATGATTCTCAGCAAACACAAGAACAGAAAACCAAACACCACATGTTCTCACTCATAAGTGGCAGTTGAACAATGAGAACACATGGATGCAAGGAGGGGAACATCACACACGAGGGCCTGTAGCAGTGAGGGGAGATATGGGAAGGATAGCATTAGAAGAAATACCTAATGTAGATGACAGGTAAATGGGTACAGCAAACCACCATGGCACATGTATACCTATGTAATAAACCTGCATGTTCTGCACATGTACCCCAGAACTTAAGAGTATAATAAAAATAAAAATTTACTAATTCATTAATAGCAATGGCTGGGCATGGTGGCTCAGGCCTGTAGCTCTAGCACTTTGGGAGGCCAAGGCAGGCAGATCACTTGAGGCCAAGAGTTCCAGACCAGCCTGGCCAACATGGCAAGACCTTGTCTCTACTAAAAATACAAAAAAAAAAAAAAAAATTAGCAAGGCGTGGTGGGGCATGCCTGTAATCCCAGCTGTTCGGGAAGCTGAGGCATGAGAATTGCCTGAGCCCAGGAGGCCAAGGTTGCAGTGATCTGAGATTACCCCACTGTACTCCAGCCTGGGCAGCAGAACAAGACTGTCAAAAAATAAATAAATAACAGAACAAGTAATTTTGTAGGAAAACAAGAAGTATCATATGGCAGTGAAAATTTGCAGTGATGATGAATTTTTTAAACTAGTAGGCAAGTCAGCAATGCTTAGGGCTAAAATTAGAGTTGTTTTTATCATCCCTGAAATTCCCTCACTACACACAAACACACACCACCTCCACCTCCACCACTACCACCACCACTACCACCACCGCCACACCACCTCCGCCACTGCCACTGCCACAGCCACCTCCATCACCACCACCGCCACCACACCACCGCCACTGCCGCCTCTGCCGCCGCTGTCACCGCCACCACACAACCTCCACCGCCACCGCCGCTGTCACCGTCACATCCACCACCACCGCCGCCGCCGCCACCACCACCACCACCACC